GTAATTTCAACTGATGAATTGGTGGCAAGAAATCACAATTTAAAGTTTAGCTGTAGTTTTCAAAGTTATGCTTGTGGTGGCAACATCGCCCTTTAGAAAATAAGATTTTAAAATGAACAACGAAAATCAAAATGCTATTTTTAATTTGAGGCTTTTCATTAATTTAATTATCGAACGACAATAGATCAAAGGCAAGTGGAATCAACAATGGCGGTATCCAACGTATCGTGCAATGTTTTAGTCCCGTAATTTTGTTCACAGACAGCCTCATTTACAATACGATCCACTTATTAGAGGGTGTACACCACGATGATTACAGAATCGTCGCACGCTTCTTTCAGTAATTGCTCTATGCTCGGATATTGAGCGGCCAACCGGCATCTCGTCGTGAGAAGTCCCCTGTTTGACAAGAAAACTCATATACATGTACTCAATGTCAACAATTTTTTCGATCTCCATTTCAATTAGCAAGGCCACGAATCTGTTAGCGTGGCTTAGTTCAAGAATATAATGACGTCACGTACGAAACAAGTACGTGTCTATCTATATGAATATTAAAAAGTAGGCGTCAAAACAGAGCTGACTGGTAAAATTGTAGCATGCGCGTTGCTGGGTTCGCCATCGACTGAAAATGTGCAAATAACCGAAAAAGCTCCCTAGCGATTCAATAAAATGAAACGCTCCAAATTGAAAATAGGATTTTGATTTTCGTCGTTCATCATTTCGGAATCCTATTGTTGAAAATTAAATGTCGCCACCGCAGGTGTAACTTCGAAAATCACAGCTAAAATCTAAATTGTGATTACATACCGCAAATTAATAAATTGAAATTACGTAAAAAAAATGTTAGATTCCAGAAAATATTAGAAATTTACTTGGTCGTCACTAGCCACGGACCCAACGTAGATTGTTGTTATTGTTCAAACATTCACATCTACATGACCACGCAATAAGCTTGCTTGTTTCAACTTTTGGGCTTAGTCGCTGTGCGCGTTTGTAATGTCGCAATAATGTTACTATTATTATTGCAACACAACGCCGCGCCAGAATTGATTATTAATGTGAAGATTTGAAAATCTGTTTGCCTGATTTCATGCGTTGATCCATAAAACGAACGAAAGTTGTGCGTTGTACAATTTACAATGAATCGTTATGTGATAAAAGCGAGCGAGTTAGAGATGAAGAAACGATGGAATGACGCCGACGAGGAAGTATCATGACTCGGGTTTCTGTATGCGGTCTGTGGTGGTTTCCAGGCCCCAGCAAAACGTCGACAAGAAGTTTTGAAGATGTAGTACAGGTGACTAAGCCCAAAAGTTGAAACAAGCAAGCTTAATGAATGCGTGGTCAAAAAGGAAAGACGGTATAAGGATGTTTGAACAATAACAAAAATCTACGTTGCCGTAACTCGAAGTTATATTAACTGTTAATTAAATTTCGAGTTAATAACTCGAAGTTTGAATAACTGTTGATTAAAGCTCGAATTACAGAATTTGAAAGTTAAACAAAACAAAAAATATACGTTGCCCGTAACTCGAAGTTTGGTTAACTGTTATTTGAACTATGAGTTACAGAATGTGGACGTTCAACAAAAAACAAAATATATGTTGCCCGTAACTCAAAGTTCTGTTAACTGTTAATTGAACATCGAGTTACAATTTGGGCGTGGTTTCACAAAAGTGGTCGTGGTTTCAAAAATATGGGCGTGGTCATTTCTGTAACTCGATGTTCGTAACTCGATGTGCGTAACTCGAATAATTCGACATCTCGATGGGACCACCTACAACCCCTTGTGGAGAACACTGTATATATAATGACAGACATTGCAGCCCTTGCTGTTTCTTGCATGTGACAAAAATCAGCCTAAATCACAAGAAAATTGTAGTGGGCCGAACAATGGCCATGAAAAAGTAAAAATGGGTACAGGCAGCCATGCCAATTCATGTGGTGAATGAAATGCAATTATTACATGACTTTCTGCTCAATATTATACAGTGTGTGGTAGCCTATGTCGAATAATCAATGGCATGGTCACAAATGATCATGAAGATTAATCATGTTAATGGGCAAAGATTGTATTGCTGGCTGCATAGACGGGACTATTAATGTAGTATTTGCACATACCGGCCCTAATTTTTGGTTTTAGATGCTAAATTGAGATGCATCGTGACAACGGTGGCCGTGCAGTAGGTAATTGTTACTAGCCACACCGTTTGCAC